AACGGCGCAAGATGGCCGCGCACAAAAGCGGCGCAAAATGGCGGTACACGATGACGGTAAAAAAATGGTGGCGCATGAGGATGGTGCAAAATGGCGGCGCATAAGAGCGGCGCAAAATGGCGGCACACGATGGTAGTCAAAAATGGCGGCGCACGAGAACGGCGCAAGATGGCCGCGCACAAAAGCGGCGCAAAATGGCGGTACACGCTGTCGGTACAAATGGCGGCGCATAAGAACAGTGCAAAATGGCGGCGCACGAGAACGGCGCAAAATGTCGGCACACGAAGACAGCGTAATACCTGGGCGCAAAATGGCGGCGAAGAAGGGGGATGCACGATCACGACGCGCAAGAAAGACGGACTCTGGAGGAGTCAACGGTTCCGGAGGTCATTCTGCGTAAGCTCTAACTTATTGTTCAGTGCAAGAGGTTACGATGTGATGGGTCCAAAGGTAGGCTTGGCACAGTCTGCTTGATTCAATGGCGAGCTCATGTGCGGGTGGCGGGAATACGATTGACCTACCAGTTGTAGTCTACTATGATTGTTAGTTGTCTTTGAGGGGAAAAAGCAGGTTTTGGGATATTGTGTAATGGGATCGGGTGGTGTTCTGTAAAGAGTTAGGATGGTTCACCACATTTCTTTTGTGTAGAGTTGCCAAACACACTATTTTTTTTCTTAACTCATTGTCACCTTTTAGATGTAGGTATTTTATTCAAATAATGGATATTCTTAAATAATAAATGTATTTTGATTTAATGGCTCACACTTATAGCAGTAAGCTTCGTAAATTCACGTTTCTTCATTTATCCTTGGCTCGCAAAAGTTTTTCTCCTCCGAAACGGGGTTGTAAACTGGGCCTAGAGCATAATTGGCAGTGGGCCAAAAGGAATATTCACATGTAACAAATGCATAATCGTCGAGTTTAAAGGCAGAAAGGAGATAAACTGCTCGAAAAGCACATAGTTAAATGTGATTTTGGTAAGGCTTGTCTTAAATACAAAACAGTATCCACTCTATTTTGTTTAAGATTATGAACGACAACAAAATGATAAGGCCTCCTTTTTTCAGTGAATTTCCCATAGCCATACCAGTGTGGGAAAAACTCGCTGTTCAAAGCTGGAAATTGTCATGAAAAGTGTGTCGGAGTTAGAACTTAATCACTCGAAATGACCTAATGCGATTCAAGGGCTTGTAGTTGAGTTTTTATCGCAATGAGATCAGCAGGCCTCACAATGCCGCCACATTCAATTTAGCTTTACCTTCCAAAAGCTTATCTCATCCAGGCTGGATTCGACCGGAGTTTCGAGTCGTGAGAAGCATGGAAATGTGTCGCATCTGTCCTCTGACGCGTTGGGACACCCGTCGCCATGGAGTGGAACTGCAAGCGTTGCTGCATGATTCTCAACCCGGGTTCGAATCCCGCATGAAATTCTGACCAGACCAGTTCAGGCGACGCCGAAACTGCGGACTAGTCCAGCCTGAATGAAATGCAATGGAATCGCAGGACCTGTTCATCTGAAGGTGGGATAAACTCAACTATCCGTCGTCAAATCACCTTAAGCGACCTCGGGCGCCTAAGTTGTCATTCAAGACGGCATGCATTCATTCACGTCCTTGCGACAGTACCCACCAGAGAAATGTGATATGAGAAATGCATGGGCTTCCCGGAAGTTAGCATCTAGTTCGAGTCGCGCTGGGAGTGAGGTCGAGATTGTAGTCCACTCCTGTCTGGAGGAGAATAGGCTTTAAGAGAAACGACAAAGTGTGAGATTCAATGAAAACACGAGGCCTACTGAGCGGATTGTGTGAAAATTCCACTACCGGTGCTTCATCCCCTTAAAGGAAACAGAGCGAACCCAGTTCTGTGTAGCGAAAGCGGACTGCGACTCGAATAGAGGCCTTCCATTTCGGTCTGAATGTCTGCGATGGAGACTCTTTATTGTTTTTGCAGACTGCAACGGACTGACCGACAAGTACGATCGTATCTTTATGGCCCTATTGCCGCAGCGGATGAAGCACAACGACTCGTTGGTGCATCAGTTTAAGTCGTTGATGTCTCTGTTCCCTCTGGCCTGGTTCTACCGTTGGGACCTGTTCTCCGGTCGCCCCGAACGGACAGGCCAAGCTCTGCTGCAGACCTGCAAGTACGCCGAGCACCTTCGCGGCATCATCGAAATTGAAAAGGTGAAGCAACAGAAAGCCGTCTACTCGTGGCTGGACGAGTTTGTCGGCGAGACGACGTCACCGGTCGAGTTGAGCATGATCTGCGGCATGCACAAACGTGTTCACATACGCACTGTGAGTCCAACCGCCCACTTGCCCACTCCTCGACGTGGCGTTCACACACGGCCACACACATTGCCCTCTCTCGCCACCCACTTGGGTGGACAAAATCACACCCGTTTCAGCCGCCTCGTCGCCAATTTACTCGCCTCGCCTGCACTCGTCTCATCATCCCCTCCAGCGGGAGTCGAACCAGCGTCGTGGTAGTGCCGCGTGCCAGAGATAAAATGTATCTAAAACTACTGATACTTTTGTAATGAGATGTATTCACCCTATTTCGTGTAAGGTGATGAAGGACTGGTAGTAGAATTTGCCCACAATGATATGAGTTTAGCTGACGTTTCCGTTCAATTTGACATAGCCTTGCTTTCCCAAAAGTTGTTCTCCTCCTTCAACGAAATTGGGTGAATAAATCTCATATTAAGAATCTATTTTATTTTTCGAATTAAGTATTGTTTTCAATACTATCAGTGAATTAGTAGTATGAGATGTATTCACCCTATTTCGTGTAAGGTGAGGAAGGATACAGGACCTATGGTACCATACCATCAACGGATTCATTTCTTTTAAGGACGCATTTTGATCTTTCAAATTCGACCTGTAGGTCTGAGAGTCACCATCCACAGAATAGCTACGTGTACAGCAAACCATCAAAAGAGACCTTGTCTGTTGATGCATACAGCTTAAGTATATTTTTAAAAATGTCGGAAAATCTCGAATAAGCATTCCAGTAGTCCTTGGTCGCATAAGCGGATGAAGAACTGATGGTTGAATTTTTCCCACAATCACATATTTAAGCCTCACACTTCCATTGAATTTCACTTGGAATTGCTTTCAAAAAGATATTTTCACCCCGACTGACATAAATTTTAATGAATGCCATATCACATTTATAGTGAGATTGCCAATTAGAGAAACTGCCATTTTGCCATTACTATACTACTTATATTCAGAAGTTTCCATTCCTACTGATGTTGCTGATGCGCCCTGTTCAGGCGAGGTTGCAACTGCAGTCTAGTTTAGATGAGACGTGTATACTTTAGGGAAGCAAAGATAAGAGAGATTCACTTATTCGCATCACTGTGGGAAAAATTAAACTATTCATCTTTCATCATCTTATCCAACTTGGGGTGACCAGGACTCTTGCTAGTTGATGTCGTCGAACTTGTCTTTCTGGCAGCGAAGACTCCCAACTGAATCGTTGTGATTTCCATTTTAACTCACTTGGGCCTCACCAATTTAGTTAATCATTCCAAGTCCGTTATTGACAATAGAGGAGAAGAGGAAAGAGAAAAACACAATATAGGATTATGAAAGTTCGTAGACTGTGGAGGAAACGACCGCGCCATCGTGCCACTCGACAACTCCTCACGAGTTTAACGGGCCTCTTGACATGACTTGCACACATACCAATCCATCTCCCCATATCTTACTTCTATAGTTGGCATTTTCATGTGATTTATCTTTTTTTAATTTTTATTAACAAACTATCGATTACGCACAACTTATTATTTTATAAAACCAAGATGGTGTGGCCTTTTGTGTGGCCGCAGTCTCCTTTCGTTGTATGGAAGTTGTTTGACCTTGTTTTCGCAACTTGGTCATGTTGGTAGGAATACTTAAGGGAACACACCTATTCCGA